TCCGACCTAGAGTCCGCCGAGCGTTTAAAAGGAAACATCAGGTATGAATGGCGTTCAACAGGCAGCGAAGCCTCCTGCTCTTTGCTCGCTTTAATCATCTCTGCATTGAAGCTATCAAAGTAGCACGGACGGCTTTACTCAAGTGTGAGCTAATTATAGCCAGCAAAGCCTCAAAAAAACCCAAAAGATACTTCGGCTATGCTCAAGCCCGGTCCTCTTCAAGAAAAGTGATCGGCAATGCCCTTCACATCAATGGACAACTCTTGACCACTGACAAGGAAATTGCCGACTCATTCCTCGCTTCGTTCCAAAGAAGTACTTCGCCTGGATAGCTTGAGCAACTACCCTACCCTCGATCGATTGAGCGACATGCCAGATCTTGTAATCTCTACACCGGACGTGGAAAGAGTCTTTAAGACTCTTAAAATCAACAAATACGCGGGGTCAGATAATATCCACCCAGCCGTCATAAAACCGGTAGAATTCTTATTGATCCCACTGTAAGTCACAATGTTCAACGATTCTCTGAACACGGGCCGAGATCCGGAGTATTGGAAGCATGCTACAGTTGTCCCAATCTTTAAATGGGGTAACCAATCGCACCCGTCCAACTATCGTCCGATCAGTCTCACCAGCATCGTTGCTAAGCTCCTGGAGCGTATTCTGCGAGACCACATAAGCGCGCACCTTCTTCAAATCGGTTTCTTATGCAACGCCCAACACGGATTCATCAAAGACAGATCTTGCCTAACAAATCTGTTATGTTTCCTAGACGTAGTAACACAGAAATTAGATGAGGGAACACAAGTCGAAGTGTGCTGCCTGGACTTCCAGAAAGCATTTGACTAAGTAAGCCACAGGTTGTTTGATTTCAAGCTCCGGGAATCTGGGCTTAATCCGAAAGTCTGTAACTGGGTTAGAGCGTTCTTGTCCGGGTGGACCTACAGGGCTCGTGTGCCAGTATGTCTGTCGGAAGTGGGTTTCCCCACTAGCGCGTTCCAACAAGAATGCATCCCAGCTCCCCTTCTCTTTCCATTGTATGTCAACGAAATAACGTCAGGTTTGGAGAACCCGTGCTTTTTGTACGCGGATGATATCAAGTTAGTTGGAAACCCGGACGACAGGTGTTTCTTGCAGAGTGATCTCTTAACGATATGCGAGTGGTCGCAAAAATGGGATCTCCCACTCAACGCAGTGAAGAGTCACCTGCTATCCAAAATAACGCATCGGTCCCTCGCCAGATCCTCACTACGGCCGGAGCATATACAACCCTAGCTTACAAATCAGAGGCAATCAACCTCAGGATAAGAGTCTCCAACACCTCCCCATCCTCTACCGCTGTTACAGCAGCCTTAAAAGCCATCGTAAGGCCTCATGTGGTGATTCGGATCTACGAGATCAAGCCTGCCCTGGAGCAGCGCGGCACAGTTTCCGGATATTGGTAGTCAATCGACCTTGAGCGCTGACGCCAGTGGCACGTGCACAGCCACCGGATACACGTCATTGGTGGACCGTTCCAGCCAATCAGATACAATGCAGGGAAGAGCGGTATGACGCAAGATGTGATGAAATGTGATTGGTGGAAACTAAGGTAGCCAATGATCTTTTCTTGTGTACATATATATTCACTTTCATTTCCTTCAATAAACGACTTTGTGATTCGCCTGTCTTGTGGCCTTTTTCCTCGCACCTCGATTCTGCGGGTTATCGCGAATTCAAGACATTGCGTTCCAGTGCCATCGGTTTTCTAATTCGTGTTCCGTGATTCCTATTGCGTAGT